CCTAGGCTTCTTTTGCTCAAGACTAGTGCTCTAGGGGCTGGGAGGTGGCTTAGTGGTAGAGTACTCACCTAGGCTTGCATGAAGCTCTGAGTTCAATTCCTCAGTCCCACATACACAGAAAAAGCCAGAAGTGGCACTGTGGCTTAAGTGGTAGAGTGCTAGCCTTGAGCAAAAGAAGCTCAGAGACAGTGCCCAGGCCCTGAGTTCAAGTCCCAGGACTGGCCAAAAAAAAAAAAAAGACTAGTGCTCTACCACTTGAGTCAAGTGGCACTTCCGGCTTTTCCTGGGTAGTATATTAGAGATAAGAGTCTCACAGACTTTCCTGCCCAGGCTGGCTTCAAACCACGGTCCTCAGATCTCAGCCTCCTGAGTAGCTAGGACTTTTCCCTTTTAAAAAAAATAAAAAAAGATTTAAGAAACCAGGAAACTGAAAGATCTTTGCTTGGAAGACTGGGATTCAAATTCTATCACTGCCTGATCACTGACATGATTTTACAACTAATCTTTGGTCAAACAAAGAATCAAAAGATATACAGAACCCTATTTTTATGTTTGAATTCTATTTTGTGGGCATAGTATGTAGAAATGAAGCTGTAGATAGATTAATTGAACCCACTCCAATAGTTTACTATCTGTAGGAGAATAGTAGTTCACCAGAAGATACTTCTATCTAGGGCATATGGCCGTAGGACTGACCATCTCCATATGGAGACAGATGGCAATAGATCGGGAATTTAAGTGCAAAGATCTAGTTTTATTGAGGCCAGGGGTTCCTTGGATTACTTCATCCAATTGAGAAAGAAATACCAAAAATTGCTTAGGAAAGAAATAATATGAGATCATGTAATTCTTTTCTTATTAAGTTTTTTAATCCCAGAAAGATATAGGATCATGCAGAGCTACACTAAAGAAAATTAAAACAGTAGATTTATGATTATAATTATAAATCTGTGAACCAGGTACTAGTGGCTCCCACCTGTAATCCTAGCTACTCAGGAGGCTGAGATCTGAGGATTACGGTTCAAAGCCAGCACAGGCAGGAAAGTCCATGAGACTTTTTTTTTTTTTTTGCCGGTCATGGGGCTTGAACTCTGGGCCTGGGCACTGTCCCTCAGCTCTTCAGCTCAAGGCGAGCGCTCTACCACTTGAGCCACAGTGCCACTTCCGGTTTTCTGGTGGTTTATTGGAGATAGGAGTCTCATAGTCTCTCCTGCCTGGGCTGGCTTTGAACTGCGATCCTCAGATCTCAGCGTCCTGAGTAGCTAGGATTACAGGCGTGAGCCTGGCAGTCCGTGAGACTTTTATCTCCAATGAACCACTAGAAAACTGGAAGTGATGCTATGGCTCAAAATGGTAGACTGCTAGCCTTGATCAAAAAAAGCTGAGCCAGAACTCAATATGCTGAGTTCAAGCCCCAGTACTGGGAGAAAAAAAAAATCTGTAGTTGAATATTGTGGCTTACTCTTGAAATCCTAGATACTTAGAAAGTGGTTCCCAGCCAGCCTGAGCAATGAATTCCTAAAACCCCATCTCTTTTTTTTTCTTCTTTTGTGAAATTTGATCTTAATCAATAAAAACTTGGATATGGTGACACACATAACCTATCATCCCAACTATGCAATAGGAGAAATCATGGCCCAAATCCAAATAACTAAAGCAGCTGGGCACCAATAGCTCACCCTATAATTCTAGCTATTGAAGAGGCTGACATCTAAAAGATCATGGTTCCAAGCTAGCCCAGACACAAAAGCACATGAGACTATCTTCAAAATAGGACAGAGCTTGGTTAGAGGAAGGCCTGGCTCAAAGTAGTACAGTACCAGCCAAGAAAGCAAGATGAACAGGCAAGGCACAGAGTTCAAACCCCAGTATCAGCAAAGAAAGGAGGAAGGAAGGAAGGAAGGAAGGAAGGAAGGAAGGAAGGAAGGAAGGAAGGAAGGAA